AAATGCAGGCATATAGGCCTAACCAATGGACACTGACAACGGGGGGGAGGGGAAGAGTGGGGGGGGGTAGAGGGTAACGTGGGGACAAGGACACATATGTAATTTCTTAATCAATAAAAAATATTTAAAAAAAAATCACAAGAATAAACTGGCTGCTGAGCCTGTTATAAGATGGTAATTGTCATCTAAGCCCCAAATATTAATTTTTGGTGTTCATCAAAATAACCTTGTTTTTTTCATTGAATTTGAATAAATTCGAACTAATAAAATGTTTACTAAAAATGCTCTTCCTATCTATTTTATATATTCTGTTTTATATGTTGTGATTCTTTATAAAATTCCTTCTGAAAGGGCATTCTACTTCTAAAAACATTTCTTTAAAGACTGAATGTAAGTGTATTATACTACATCTACTTCTCTTGACTTATTTTGAGATTGTCAAGCAAGTCTTCAATTTACTGGATACATTTAAAATTATAAGAACTCTCTTCATACACATCTCTATTTTTCTCCATCTGAGCTTGATATTTGTGTCAGACAATAACAGGAACAATCTGATTTGGCAGGATAGTAATCAACCAAAATGTGTCTCCTCTGTTTTTCATTTTGCTTGATTACAACATTAAAATTCAAGAATGGATGAACTATTTTGAAGTCTGGGCTTTAAAAACACCTGTTTACTCATGTGGCCATGTGTGAACTTTCCTATTTAACAATAATTGCAGCTTACTGTGTCATTTTCACACTCTCATTGCAAAAATATCGGCCTGGACACAGCCTGGCAAAATACATTCAAAGGTTGTGGCTGCTGCTAAAATTTTCATGGAAAGATAAAAGTGTACATTAATAAAATTTACTCTTATCATTTTATACACTATTATATAAGCAACGATCAACTCCTCTGCCATACATAACTTTTTAATGTGCTATTTGAACTTCATCAACAGCCTCTTGATTGGGTCTCAAGCACTAATCAGGCCCCTCACAAGGACCATCAGAGGCTTAAACATCTTGCATCCATCATGAAGAGCAAGTGAGATCATAATGACTAATCACATTAGCATAATTTAAAAATGCAGAGCGTGAATAGCTTCTTCCCCAACATGTGTAGTAAAAACATATGCACAAGACTGCAGTGATTCATTATGCCACTTGCTTGTTTATATTATAACATATTTATATGCCCAGCAGAATGAAACTATAAAACTGCCATTAACGAGTAGAGGAAAGAGGTTCTTTTTTAAAGTGAATTACAAGCATTCAGGATGAGTATATATTTACAAGATTATTTTAAGGAAGGGAAACTGCTATCTTCTTATGTCCTCCTAGGACACTACAAAACCCAGTCTCACTGTAGATCTTTAGTAACCTACGTTTTATATTTCTGCCCAAACAGTGAGTCGCAGGTGAAGTCACTGCATATCACAAAAGCACAAAATTAAGGGGGAAAACCAAACAAAACAAAAGGGAAAAATTCACCTTTTTGTATTTTGCCACCTAAATTGATATAAATCACTGGCTCCCTCTCAGGGCTTTGGAGGGTCTGCTGTAGACCTGAATTGGTGTCTAAATATTAGCTACCAAGGACCAGCCACTAAGCAAAGTACTTCTGATGCAAATATGAAAAATGGCACACAGTCCTGCCTTCCTAGTGCTTACCATCCAGTGAGATGAACAGGAAAGGAAACAGACATTTAAATCCCAGGATCAAGCTTTCTGTCATGGAGGAATTAACAAGCAAGGTGTCCTAGAGGGAGTATTGACAGCATTGATACCTGGAAGGTAAGCAGGAGTTGGCCAGGTGAAATGACAGGGGAATGCAGACAAAAGTACTCCAGAAAAGGACAGTAGTTTATGTGGAATGTTTAAGGAACTGAGAATGGTTTATTATCAGATAATTACCAAATACATTTTGACTTCATACAGCTGTAGACTACAGGGGAAAGTGGTAAAAAAGAGGCTAGAAAGGATGCAGCGAGCCAGATGTTTTCCCTTATCAAAAATTCAGAGGAAAGGGATTTCTCAGTATACAAGGGAGACATGGCATTTGCCCTCAGAGAGCTTAGCAGGGGAAGCATACTCATCTCAAATTGTGATCAGTACAATGAAGGAAACAAGGTACTAAGAGAGAATAGCAGGAGGAACCTACTTTAGACAGTATCGGGAGACATCTCTGAGGTGGTGAGATGTGAAGAATGAGAAGCTGTCAGATCATGAAGGCCCTGGTGAGCTTAGGGAGTTGGATGTTATCTTCATATTATCTTGATGTTCAAGGTGTTAAGCAGGGAAGAGATGTGATCAGCTTGCATTATAGATAAATTATTCTGACTGCTATGCAGAGTCCAGGTGAAAGAGGCAGGAGGCAAGGAGATGAGCTGGATTGCTTTTCCAGTAATCTGGAAAAGAGAAAATTCCCTAGTGCTGGAATATCTTAGTAACAGTAGCATGAGGCAGGGATGGAATTAAAATGCTTAAAAATGTGTGTGGCATGAGCACTGATCCATCAGGATGGATGTAGCCTCAGCACTGAGTAGGGTCTGCAGCCCTTTGCTTGGCCAGGCCAGAAGGGACAGGTGGATCCCAGAGGTAAGGCCAGCAGGACAGGGGTGTAGGCCAGCAGCCTCTTTACCATCTGTATGAAAGTATTTCAATATTTTGGAAACAGGTACAGCTGCACCAGCCTGGGAATTAATTATACAGAGCCAGGAAAATATTCAGGAGACGATAAGAAAAGAGAAGACTTACATTTGGATAATGCTTGAAGTGAGCAAAAGGGAGGAGGAGTTAGGGATTAGGCCCTGCTTGGGAGAGATAAACTCATTTATTCAATCACTAGAGGCCCGGTGCATGAAAATTCATGCACTGGAGTGGGGGGACCCTCAGCCCAGCCTGCCTCCTCTCACAGTCCAGGAGCCCTCAGAGGTGGGAGGCGACCCAGCGATCAGGGGAAGGCCACACCCCCATCACACTTCTGCTGCCACTGCCGGCAGCGCAAGGCTCGGCTGGCCCTAGTTACCTGAGCCTCGGGCAGCCGTGGGCAGGTCAGCAGCCACCATCTAAGGTTTGCCTGCGCCTCGGGCTGGCCCTGGGAGGCTGGGGGGCTGAGGGGACTGGGGGACTCCAGAGGCAGGCATGCAGAGCGGCCAGACCCGCCTGGGGGCAGGCCCAGCCGTGCTGCACACCTGCCACCCTGGAGGGGCTGAGGGGACTGGGCACCACCATCTTGTGGCTGTGGGTGCCCAAATCTTTGAGGGCATGGCAGTCAATTAGCATATCCCCTCTTTATTGGCTGTGGGCACTGCCACCTTTTGTGAGGGCATGATGGTCAATTAGCATATTCCCTATTCATTGGCTGTGGGCACCGCCATTTGTGAGGGTGTGATGGTCAATTAGCATATTCCCTCTTTATTAGATCAGATATTTATTCAGCACTTAACATTTAAGACACCTGAGAAACCTGAAATGTCAGGTGAGCAATTGGGTATGTAAGGAGAAAGATTTGGGCTGAAGAAATAAATTGTGGAGTTTTCAGCATAAAGATGTCATTTAAAGCTACAGAATGGCAGCACTCCCCTGGGGCCAGAGTAGAGTGAGAAGCAGGAGGACCCAGGATGAAGCCCTGGGAAACTCCAGCATTTACAATTGAAGAGGAGGTGAGGCTTTAAGCACTGAGAGTGGCTCCTGCTGCAGGAGGAAAACCAACTGTGTCAGGTGTCAGGAGCTAAGAGTGTTTCCAGGAGGAGGAGGAAGTGGTTTGCTGTGTTGAAAACTGGAGAGATTGAGTAAGAAAAAGACTCGAAGGGATTTAGCAACTTGGACCTTGTTGGTGACCTTGATAAGGGCAATTTCAGTGGGTGGCAAGCACAGAGGTGGGGTTGTCTAGCATTGAAGATAAATGAGAGGTGGAGAAGTAGAGATGGGGAGTACAAGACAACTTTTTGCAGTGAAATAGGACTTTGATATTTTTAGGAAAGAGACCTGAGCAAGTTTGGCTGCTAGTGGGGGAGCCAGTAAGGTATTTTGATAGACTCCAGGGATCAGCAAACTAGGGCTCTTGCCTGTTTTTGTAAGTACAATGTATTGGATCACAGCCACTCCCATTCAGCTATGTATTAGCTCTAACTGTTCTGTGCTGCAGCAGCTTACTTAGTTTAGTAGTTATAACTGAGACCCTGTGGCCCACAAAATCAAAATTTTCTGCTCTCCCACCCCTTATAGAACATGTTTGTCAGTCCCTGAACTAAACCAAAATATTACATGCCCTAACTCTGTGGTTGGCAAACAGAGGCTCTCGAGCCACATGCGGCTCTTTGGCCCTTGAGTATGGTTCTTCCTAAGCCTTAGGAGTACCCTAATTAAGTTAATAACAATGTACCTACCTATATATAGTTTAAGTTTAAAAAATTTGGCTCTCAAAAGAAATTTCAATTGTTATACTGTTGATATTTGGCTCTGTTGACTAATGAGTTTGCCGACCACTGCCCTAGCTCATTTAATTTCCACAGGAACACAAACATACGTACATATGTAAATGCATAACTAACAAACGATTTCCCAAGTTGAGGGTGCTATGAAAATTCCCCCTGGTCAGTTTACCAACTTATCAACAAAGGCTTAGCTATTGCTCTTCTGTTAATAATACAGTAAGTCCTCACTTAACATTGTGGATAGGTTCTACTACTATATATTACATATAATGAAACCAATTTTACCATAGGTTAATTGATATAAACAAGAGTTAAGTTCCTAGGCATTTCATCAACAATGAATAAAGTGATAATATTCTAGGCCCTGCTGTATATATCCGTTATTTACAACATAAATAAACACATTTTACTCTCTCCCACATACTTGGTACCGGACACACGATAGGTACCTAATAAATATTGGTTGAAGCAAGGAAGAAAAGGAACCAGAATCATAGGAGCAAGGAGCAGAGGACACCCTGGGTCAATGAATTTATATGCAACCATCCCAGTGCAGTTTGTGGAGATTGGAGTAAATCACATTGCTCTAGAATTAATCTGGGAAGTGAGGGGGAATGGTTTGGGGAGATCTGGCTAAAGCTGAAGAATATCCTGGATGTGAAAACAAAGTGACACAGTGGCAGTTTGTCATTTGGCAGCAGGAAAGGGTAGACTCGACAGTTCTTTATTTGTTGTGATGAAACAGAAAGTTGACATGAACTGAATTTATGTGCGGCCCAAGCCAAGCCATCCCTCAGGAGCTGGGAGTTGTTCTGCTAAAAAGTAGGTTAAAGCAACAGAATTTAAAAAGAAAATGATATTTGCCACAAACATTTTGCTTAACTGAAAACAAATCAGTATATATCAATTGGCCAATCTTTTGACAGAGGGTCAAGGCCTTTCCTTTGAGCATAGGGCATTACTCTTGAATAAAGCACACCAATAAACTATTAACTGATATTTAAAGTATGGCTAACTTTAAAGGAGAATGAAAACTTATAAATGGGAAGTAATCTGAGAGCAGAATCCTTCAAGATTTTTTCCCCCTACAACATTTTTTTGTAATTAAATATATTTTTATTGATTTCAGAAAGGAAGGGAGAGGGAGAGACAGAAACATTAATGATGAAAATCACTGATGGGCTGCTTCCGGCATACCCCCTACTGGGGATCAATCCTATAAACCGGGCATGTTCAGGATTGGTGATTAAATTGTGACCTCCTGGTTCACATGTTGACATTCAACCACTGAGCCACACCAGCTGGGCTTCCCTGCAATCTTTTGTACCTATATCACTCACAGTTTATGAAGCTTTCAAGTTGTTTTCATAGAAACAGCTCTTTTATTTGTCTCGATATTTCATCTATTTATGTAATATTTTGTAAAATCACATCATTCTGAAAACAAAATACAACTGTCAGAAACAGATTAAGAAACAACTGATTCTCAGGGAACATACAATTCACATGAGAGAGAAACCTACTAACTTGGTTCTTGTGTGTGGGAGTGTCATGACAGTTGGTGACTGTGGTGAGTCCAGGAAAGGGAGAAAAGTGAAGAGTGTTTCTCTGTGACGGGGGGGGGGGGGGGGGGGGGGGGGAGTTAAAATCGGGCAAAATGACCTTTGAACTGACACGGGGCCCCAGCTGGTGCTTCCTCAGTCACTGACAAGCTGCCAGCAAGGCTGGGTTCCCTGAATATTCACTTGAGGCAGCTGTCCCAAGTCATCACACTCTAGGGACCATGGAGTATTGTGTATTAGGAAACACCCCTGCTTTGGCTTCTTCTGTAATGTAGTATGTGAATAATAGGTGACTACTCTCCACAATGCAACTTTCAGAGAATTACAACTGATGAGAAACCGGACATATAGCCCATAGCGACTTAGCATATTTAACATTTCCAAGCTACTGAATCTAGATAGAGACAGTAAAATCTTGGTGAGCATATTCTGGCAGCATGTCGCTTGGCAACTAACAAAGAACATCCCAAATAGTAGGCAGAGATCATGGAACAACATAAAGGATGGGACTGAAAGCAGTGGTTAATGTATGACTGTGACTTGAGACTGGGGAGCCTTCTGTTCTGGAGCAAATGCCTAGCCAGCTTTCTGATTTATTTTATGCTAAAATTGGGTTGATAAAAAATGATCCTATTCTCTACTGTCAATACTTTGGAAACTTATTTCCAACAGTTTGGATGATGGAAAAATAAGATTGCTCTTTGAGAGTTAACTATAAAATCAAGATGATCATTGATCAAATATAGATATGCAATATCTCTAGGAAGACAGAATATTTACATTATGAAATCTTTTCTAATACTAAATTTTCTATATCAAGACATTAATGTGGAAATATTCTGTGCCTAAAAGGTCCAAATATTATGACTCAGAAAGTTTACATGATTTGGTCAAGGATCCAAAGCCAGTTAGGAGCTAATCTAGCCTACAATCCAGAAGGCTGAGTGTGCCTGCCCCATTTCTTTCCCTGTGCTTACTGGAAACTGAACGGGAATAAAGCATTTTAACTCAACATGACTGAAGCTTTTATTCCATTTAATCCAGGTCTCCAAGGTCCTAGTCTAATGTTCTCATTGTAATACCGTCTTTCTATATGAAATTATCTGATTAGTTGGTGTCACTCCATCCTTAGTGATCTGGTTACTATAGCTGGCTAAGAAATTACCCTAAAAGTCAATGATGTAAAACAGCCATTTATGATGCTCGTTGAGTCTGTTGGCTATAGATTCAGCCAGGGCACTGTGGGGATGGCATAGAGCTGGGATTATCTGAAGTCTCACTCACATGTCTGCTGATTGCTCGTAGCTACTGCTGGGACCTCAACTGAGACTGTGGGCCATAACACCAACAAGCAGCCTCTCTAAATAGCCTGAACTTCCTTTCAACATGGTGACTGGCTTCCAAGGGTGGGCATGACAAGAAAGAGAGAGAGCCAGACAGAAGCCATATTGCCATTTATGACCCTGCTCGGAAGTCATGCAACATGCCTTCCACCCCATTCTATTTTTGTTGGGGCGTTCATAAAATTCTATTCTAGTTCAAGGGGAAGGGAATAGACTTCACTTCTTGATGGGAAGTAAGGTCCTGGAACAGCATGGGGGGCCAGAAATAGTGCTGTGGCCACTTTGGGGAAATTACAATCTGCTATAATTAGGATGAAAGGC